CGAAATAAATTGCCGAATCGTGTTGTTTTTCAAACAGCGCCACCATTTGCACGAACGATAATCATAGACAACAAACAAAATCATAGACCGAAAGAATTACTTCCCCTGATCAGCGTCATTTTATTAGCGGGGTTTGACTAATATCAATTAATTAATTAATATTATTCATAAAGAAGTAAAAAATAAAACAACAAACAATAAAACATATTTTCTAACATTAAAAGCGTTAATAGAAAGTAAAAAATTATCTCCAACTTTATTTTTTTAAGCGCTAATTTTGAATATCCGGAAAAAGATTGTAACGCAAATTTTCCTGATAAAAATCACTTACAGACTAATTCAATCAAGGAATTATAACACAAAATAAGTGGTATAAAAGTTTATATAATGATTAAACTAAATGTTAAACTTCGACCATAAACAACGTTGAATAAACGTTGAATATACATTGGCAATATATCCGTATGGTCGCCCATAGTTGAATATTGGTTGAACAACGTCACGACCATATTTCAACGTTGTTTCAACGTTGAAACAACGTTGAGTGCCTGCTGGGTGTAAAACTCTCTCGTCTTTTTTAAGAAGCTTCAAAAACTCATCTTTTTATAATTACCTACTTTTAGTTATTTACACAAGTCTGTAAGTTTTACCGGTTTTATAAGACATTTTAAACGTTTTATGTGTGTAGCAGCACACGGGTATATCTTATTTATTTTTACTTACATTGTGTATCTTCTTAAATATTTTACGTTTTATCCAATAATACTTTTGTGATTGTTCTTTTATTTTTTATGTACAGCGCCTTTGAACGTGCTCTGCATGAAAAGGGCGCTATATAAATCTGGTTATCACTTATTATTATTATTGTATAGTGATTCATTTTTCTTAACTTGAAACTACGTGTTGTTACACAACAAGATGTACATCATTTTGATATTGTACTTTGTATTGGGGTCAATGACCTAGATTTACGTTACAATAAAACTGTTAACTTGATCAATATCTCTTAGAATACAGGTCAATGTTACTTTCCTTGGACTGTCAATTGCAATTTGCAACAAAGGGCAATTACATAATAATAATAAATATAAAAGTGCATAACTTATCGTTCTAATGTATGTAATTATGACTCATAATATAAATAACTTATAAATTACCTTACTTACATTCTATTGTACATAGTATGTAAACATTAATACTATTGCTTAACACCATACCACTAGATTTTCGTATTTTTATACTGATAATACAATGCACACACATCAATTTAATTAAACTACCGTTTTCAAATATACAAACAATTGTCATATTATAAAGAAATATTTGGTCAAATTTTGGCGTTATATATAATTAGTAAATTCTGTCATTATATTCATTGTTCTTTCATTTTAAAGGTCAATAGATCACATTTTCGTTAACTGCAAATTCATTTTCCTAACAATATAAATATAGAGGCATTTCACAAGAAGCTACACCAATATATGGTCGTACTAATTCATTATTCACTTAAAAAATCTTTTCTCAGTTTACTTTGTTAAGTGTTTTGCAGTTGTGTAATTAACCTATTTACAGTGATATTTTTATTCTTTAGCAAACATGCATGTCGTTTAAAATATTTTTTAAACTTTGACAAAAAATCATAATTTCATTAATATGTTTTAATCAAATTTGACAACGTTTAAATTATTCACATTTACGGTTACACAGAGGTGACATATATGTTTTTTTATTTACCTCGTGCACACGAGATACTATGTTGTGCGCACGAGTCACTTAGTCGTGCGCATGAGTAACAAAGTCGTGTGCAGGAGATAATTAAGTGATGCAAACAAAATACTATGTCATGGGCACGAGATAATTACGTCGTTGGCACGAGTAACTATGAGGTGCAAACGAGATAATTAAGTTGTACACAAGATATTCTGTTGTGGACACGAGATAATAAACAAATCAGATAACACAATATATAAATGTGCTTTCTTATTTATTTCGTCCACACAAGATACTTTATCGTGCGCACGAGCTACTTATTCGTACACATGAGATAATAAAGTGGTGCACAAGACATAATTAGTCGTGGGCACGAGATAAATAGGTAATTGGCACGAGTAATTATATTGTGCGAAGGAGATAATAAAGTGGCGCACACGACATACTATGTCGTGCACACGAGTGACTAAGACGTGCGCACGAAATAATCAAATGGAGCGCACGAGTAACTTAGTCATGCACATGAAAAACTATGTCGTTAGCACGAGATGATTAAGTGGACCGCATAAAAAACAATGTATCGTGGGCCGAACTTTATTATCATGTGCGCACACGTCTTAGTATTGCGCACGAGATAATAAAGTTCGGCCCACGAGATACTATGTCGTGCGAACGAGTTACTTAGTCGTTATTTTATTTGGTAGGAACATTGCCCATGGCCAGTAGATGACCTCATTTGATGTTTAAGGTCATCAGGTCAAAGGTTAAGGTTTTATATGACACTTCACGTAAAATCCTTTGATGAATATCTTGAGAAGGAATAAGCCATGGTTCATATCACAAAATATGAACATTTCACCAGATCAGTAGATGGTACTTAATGATTTTGATGTCATTTGGTTAAAAGTCAGGATCACAATGACGCTTAATGTAAAATCGCTTTTACATACTTGATAGGGACATTGCCCTTAGCCACTAAGTGGCCAAAAGAAAATCCTATTGCTTTCGAGGCCACATGTACAGAGACACATAATGTAAAATCCTTGTCGAATCAATAAGTTCGAGAATAAACAAGCCATGATAACTTTGTAGGAATATTGATCAAGGAAAGTAGATGGGCAATACTGATTTTAAATTAACAAGATCAAAAGTCAATGTCAACATGAAACTTATTAAGCATAAGTGTGTATATATGATACTGTGACAGGCAGGTGAAGAACGAAGAACTAGGAAAAAATTCAAATAGACAGTGTAATCTGATTTGTTAATTATGTTGTGCGCACGATTTAATTATCTCGTGCGCATGACTAAGTGACTGGTGCACACAACTTAACTATCGTTTACAAAGTAATTCGTGAGCACGACTTAATTATCCCGTGCGCATGATTTAGAACTCGTTCGTACGACATAGTATCTCGTGCACAGGACATATTTATCTCGTGCACACGACCTAATTACTTTGTTCGCACGACAAAGTGACTCATGTGCACGACTTAGTTACTTGTGCGCACGACTAAGTATTTCGTGCCCACAACATAGTAGCTCGTGCGCACAAGATAAAAACGCACACATGTCACCACTGTGTCACCGTTCATATTTGACATCATTTACGTTTATTAATTAGCTAAAGCATGACAATCAATCTGTTATTTTTAACTTATTCATTGCATATATCCAGTAAAGCAGGCATATGCAAATAACGCAGGAATTGTGTTAAAGTGATGCAGAGCCGTACAATTATGTTGCCAAAACGAGCAACAGGGAATGTAAATGAACTAATATCTTTTATTGTACATCAAATTGAAAGAAATGAATTAGCATATACGGTTGCTGAGATATGATAAATCAAACTTCATCAAACTTTTTCCAGTAAAATTGTTATTATATACTAATAATTGAAATATTGAGAAATAGTGATGAAAAAAGAGGTGTATCTTAATTTTCCGTGTTTTCACTGTACAAATTGTTTCACTGCATTGAGACATATGTTCCGTATTTGTTACTGGTGTCTTGCCGGACTTCTTTCTCCTCAACTCAGCCAATAAACAAATCATAATAGAAGTATTAGAATTGTAAGGTCAAAAAGAAGAAAATATTTATAATAAACAGAAATATCGAGGTTTTTCTCTAAAAATACAGGATTTATTCCATCTTTTTATATGAATATTATACTTATACTCCTGCCACTCATGAAATATTTATTTTGATACCACTCGATGAAAATAAATCCTGTTTTTATAGAAAAAAGCTTGAATATTCTCTATCTTGTTTTTGAAGATTATTTGTGAGAATGACGACCTGACTAGAGTTTTCGAATTTAAAGATATCAACGAAACACAAAAGCCACTAACCATACTCTAGTTAAGTCGTCAATCTGACGGATGACCTTGAAAAATAAACATTTTGACGAACTACAAAAGTCGCCTTTTAATCGGTAGTCAGTTCGAGATTCTCACTATGATCTAATAAAGTAAACATTTTCCTGGCAAAACTAAAAGATGCCAGTTAAAGTATAATAATGCCATAGCAGCCGTATGCGCATATTTTTTTCTTTAAATTTGATTTAGGATAAATAAACTGTTTCAGTTATTCTTACCATGTTACTCGTCTTGCCAATGCACTATTTTTGAGCTATTTTGCACATTCCTGCGATATTGGTTTTACACGATTGTATTTGTTCAATCCCTGACTTAAATAAAAATACACCTTTTCTAAATTCTTTTTAAACTTTGTCTTTTTTGCGGCGTATTTTAATCTCCGTTGTTATAAAACGCATCTATTACAGTTAATGACACAATTCAACTTACATGATTAATTAACTGCATTAATATTTTGTAACAAACAGACAATAGATAACGTAATGTCTTTGAAACTATAATCCTATATGGCCGCCGCGGATGAGCAGTTTGTGACCCTTAATCATCCCATATTTTGAATGACGACCTAAACTTGATCTGAACAATCTAAAATTCTTCAAGTCGTCTTATCATGATTAACATTTCTAGCAAATATTTTCAATTTCATTTCATAGGCACAAAAGATACGAAAAGAAATTTTGAAATTCATAGCTAGCACATTATCTGATTATGCTAAATATTTCTGCCAAGTTTCCTTTTCCATTTACACTTATCATTTCCGAGGGGACTCGAAATTGTTTTCTGGCGGATGGACAATCAAAGGCATAGCTTGTACGCACGAAGTTCTTTTGGTCGAATACAGATGACATATTAAAATCTAAACAAAGTAAAAATATGTGTTAAGTTTAGTTATTATAAATTTTGATCACTTACTACAATCTTGTTCGTCTTCTCCTCCAGGGCATTCTATATGTCCATCACATAGAAATCTCTGCTCAATACAGTAACTTCCAGGACATTTCACTGTATTTTCAGGACAAATGAATTTTTCTGAATAAAAAAAAATTAAACATCAACAAACAAAAAAACAAAAAAAAAAACAAATAAAAAATGAATAAAAATGAAAAGGTTGTAATTTAATACAAACAATTAATTTTAAGCAAAGCAATTTTCAAAGAAGTGATTGACTTAAGAGCATTTATTATTCTATTACTTTTTCCTATTCGTAATTAACGGAATTTACTAACACAACATTGTAATTGCATGTTGATTTTAAATATCCCTCAATGCTTCACATTTATTACATAAGATCAAAATCGGGCATACTTCTAATAAATTCTATACTTCAGCGTAAATGAATACGACTTTTCAAAGACGTCCTAAAATGAAAAATACTATTGGAAATTTCAATTTCCCAATGAATTTATTGTCAAGACATGTCCAAAAACATTCGTTTATATATCATGTTATCATAAAAATATTTTGATGATTTGATTAGTTTCAAAAATGACCGGCTGTCAATATAAAATAACGTTCATGTTTCTTTGCTTTATTTAGCCCCTCAATACTATATTAAATTTCTAAAAATTTTCTCTTTGTTTTCGCTGCCCTGTTTAAGCTTCGTACTCATTACCCTAATTTACTTACATTTGTCTTTTTGGCTATTAGTCAAGTTATTTTCGATAAAAGTCAAGATATCAGTTCTTAGCAGTTTTAGATATTTTGCTCAAAAATCATTATCAAAATATTGTTTTTTAAACATTTAAGAAAGATTCTTGAGAGGTGAAAGAGATATTATAATTCTTATGAGAATCTAAATATTTATCAAGGGTTTAAGGACAAGAAAATTTTTGTCTTCATTACTACGCCGAATGATATTTTATTGGAAATCAGACGTTTTCTCTTTATGTGCAAATGGTTATTATAGTCATATGTTTTTAACTTTCGACAAAATAATAATATAAGTAAATGAAATCTAAAGGGGAAACAAATTAACAAAAAAATAGTCTTTATATATGTTATATTTTATATATGGTTCTTCGGATCATTGATGCCAGCACTATTAAGTGTTGGGAATTGAGTACCGCTGAAACCGGTGCTAGGGTGCGTGAGGGATGTTGCACTTATTCATAATCCCTCATGTACAGACTCATGTACAAATAATATGTAATTTTGTTGTGATTAATGCCTTCGAGGGATCATTTTGTATCCAGATTTGTAAACTTAAAGCACTGTTTTTAAACTAAGAAAATTATAGCAGAATTTCACAAATACTTTGTATAGCTAAATAGTGATACTGGTGTTTGTTCCATCTAAATTCAAAACAAGATTGTGAAATTCAGGGAAAAACTCATAACGCCATTACAAGTTTATTCATTAATATTTTCTATAATACGTAATTGAATTTAAGTTTACACTGTATAGCAAAGAAAACTTCATTAAAATGTTTATATACAGAACAAAGGCAAAAAAAGAAAGCGCAAATAACAAGAAGTCAAAAGATACTAGGGTCTAGGGCCAGCTTAAAATGCTTTCAATTTAAAAGATTATTTGGAGTTTTGTAATTATAGCATTGAATATTTAGAACTTGGAAGTACAAGATACATATTGAAGGTAAAGGTCTTGTTTATTATAGTGTCACCCATAATGAAAGGGCCAGCCTTTTCTGACTAATAGATAACCTCTTGTTTGCAAAGCATGTACATCCCAACTCCTCTCACTATGCCAGGCGCCAGGCGGATTGAAAACCGTAACCATTCATTTTAACTACCTCGCGGCATACGAAGTGGCCATTTCGGAACGAGTCCCACCCCATGGGGATCGAACCTTCTACCTCCCGATATGAAGGCGGACGCCTTAACAACTAGGCCAACGGTACAGTATATATGTAAAAAATGGAACTGTTGTATTGTCAAAAGTGTACTTTACACTTAAAATGTAATATACCAATTAACAGATTCTCTATCAATATGTTAAGTATACCGAAATCTTAAACATTATATCAATTGAACACACGAATAGTTATATGATATATCAAGAATATCGAACATTTTTATTTGGTGTCTTTGGGTATGCACATCTTAAACATCCATCCGAGAAATTTAACTCGAAAGTTTGCTCCCGATACCCCCTTTGGATTAATTTTATATTTTGACGTGTTTACGTTTCAGAAGAAAATCTTTTATTAAAGAATATACAAAGGGATCCCTGATTTCAGTTTGTAATATTCAAATGCCCAATGAAAATCTAGGTTTTTGCTATCAATTTTACAGGAAATGAAATTGCCCTTAGACAAACTTTGTCCGAAAAATCTGCTGTATTGACTCCATTGTATGTTCGAAGATGGATTTGCACACCAATATTACATATTTTGTATTTAACTAGGGGTACGTGTTTTGTTCGACAATGAATCGTGTCAAATTAAAGGTACATGTTCGGAGTTCTACGCCGCATGAACACACTGCGGATGTTTATAAATTCAAAAATTTTACAATTTATATATGTTGAATTTGCCTAAACTAATCTATGGATGGAAGCTTGCACTTATTTCTGCTATCAATTTGTAGACAAAATCAAATCGAACATGCAACACTCAGTTTTGCAGTCATGGACATTGTTACCTCTTCCTAAACACAACGGAATGGCCTTTTTCGCTACCAGTGAAAAAAAATTACTTGTATATAAGTTGGGTAAATAATTGGGAAACGGACCGGGCACAAAATATCTTGTTTTTATTTTTATACAATTAAGAACATAATTATGATAACTAATAATCTGATAAATATATTCATTACCACAATTTTGTAAATGGTCTCCAGACCTACATCCAGTCATGTAACCGCTGGCATCTAGGGCATAAATACAAATCATCGACTCTTGTATTATTTTATCGTCTCTTTCACAATGGAAAAGCTCACCAAATACGCTTGCATTGTAATCTTAGAGATGAACAACAATAAATTAACTAAAATAATTAAAAATAAAACAAAATGTACAAAGTATCTAGCCAGTATTGTACTTAAATATATTATAGCATAAAATCGGCTATTTTTCCCTTTTTTGCCCATGTTATAACGGGGCCAAAACCATGCGTTAACATAGTCACGCGCTCTTGTTATAGCCCGGTTTTACCTATGCACAATACATAGAGGGCCCAGTAAACAAACAAAAAATGACGATTTGGCCTATTTGCCAGAGTCATGCGCTTTTGTTATATTGGAATTATTAATTCGAGGGCCTCAGTCGCATAACGGCGAGCAGCCTTCAAGTATACTTATGCCGGCAATACGGCATATAGACATCGCCGCTTATCTTGGTTGTCGCCCTTTCTTAGAAACGGACAGTTGTCAATGTAAACAAATAAAATCTGTCATTCAGTTTAATCCCCCGATAAACTTACAAAAATGGAAAGCACAAAATGAATATAAGAAAACGTTGTTTTATTGACGTTTATATTGATAAATGTTTTGTATGTTTCTTTGAGAGAATAATGTTTCATGCCTGTTTTTTTAAAACTTGCGACGTTGCGTGCTTAAAAAAACCGATTCTGAAATTGAATCTAATGTCACTAATCTTTTTCCTACCGCCAATCTGTAATCATTCTAGGAATTTCTGAGGCGCCTGTTTTGTCTTGGGTACAGTAATGTTATGTTTTTCTTAAGTTAATATATCTCCAAAGTTAAACTTTGTTAAATCAATTAAAATTTGAAATTTCGTTCGGTCCTCAAGTTGCTGGCCCCGGAAAAAATAAAACGCATACGTAAAACATGTAGAGTTGGATAAATACCGTTCAAGCACAAGGATTAAATGTTTGTGTTTTATATATAATATACATCATGAATCTGTTTTAAAATTGTATGCTATAATAGCGTCAACGCACGTTTATTTCGTGTTATAAAGTCTGAAGAGTTCCTCGGAACGGTTGGAGCCCTCGCCCTACCGGGCTCGGGCACCAACCGTTCCTCGGGACTCTGCAGACGTTATAACACGGAAAAACGTGCGTTAACCCTATGATAACAACGGCAACAACAAAAATGACATAAAACAAACAAACAAAACAAACAAACAACAACAACAAAAATTAAGTGGGTCATGATGGCCCTGAAATCGCTCACCTACATATAAAATTTTCTCACGACAAGGAACAAGTAACATTGTTAAGTATAAACAGATATAAAATCTACATCTTAAACTGATATCACAAAGATCATATTTGTTTCTGAAATAGTACATGTGCAGAACATTAGTTTGTAATAAATACATCTAAAGAAAATCAATAACCCCCGGTACTGAACCAGTTAAGACCCCAGAGCTTTTGTTTAAAAAAACTTGGGTCACTAGAAAATGTTTTATGCTACATATGTAAGCTCTAGCTCTTAGGTTTTTTTTAAGATTTTCTTTTACGTTTTAACTATACACATTGAAGGAAAATCAATGACCCCCGGGGCAGTTCCAATTTTAACTCCAACGCTTTTAATTGAACAAACTTGGTAAAGCCCATTACAAAATGTTTCATTTTAAATATCTAAGCTCTAGCGTTTTGGGTTTTTTAAAAAGATTTTTTAAATTTTCTTTTCTTTCGGTTGCCATGGCAACCGGTGTTTTTCATGAAATCAAATTCTTTGAATAATTTTCAAAGGTGAATCCCAAAGAAACATTCATGTGAAGTAAGGATGAAATTGGCTAATTGGTTTATCAGGAGATGTCGTTTTAAAAAAAAGTTTATAGACAGGACGGACGCCAGACGAAAAGCGATCACAAAAGCCAATCTTGTAATTTTTTGACAGGTGAGTTAAAAAAACCAAATCAATTAATTTAACATGTTACTTTCTTATTTAAAATAATACAGTTTTTGGGATTCAATTATGATGTTAAATAAGAAGATAAGATCAAAAAAGATATTTCCACAAGATAAATTTAAAACTGCCACAGTTCTAGCTTAAATATTCTCGCATGGCATTCTCATAAAAATGACAACGTACAAAAGGATAAAACTCCGAAAGCTAGTAATTTTTCTAATTTTTCATTACACGGAATAGGGGTGGAACATGTGTAGATTTATTAGCAGCACTATTTGTTGATTCTAAGGCGAAGATTACTTTCCGCATGTGCGTTCTTGAGTTTATTTATTTAAAAATATATATATAAATATGTAAGTCATAAAAATGTCATTTTTTAATTATCCTACATTGCCTAAACGAGTTAGAGGGATGAGCGATGTTGCACTTTTAAACATGAGGGGATCACAAAACATATGCCCCCACACCTTTGTGTGGTATTTATCATTCCGGTGAAGTTTGGTCGAAAACCAGCAAGTCGTTTGACCTGTGAAAGCCTGACTAGATTGTTTTTATTTTCTGCTCAGGTGGCCATTTTGTACAGCAAACTGAAGCCTGTCGGTGATATACACAACTTTAGATCGTACTGATCACTCCTGTGAAGTTTCATTGAAATCCTGTCCGCAATTTGACCTGTGAAGGACTGACAAGATTTTTTCTTTTTTTAGCTTTGGCGTCCATTTTGTGCAGCAAAACGGAACGTGCAAGCGAATTGACAAGTTAAAATAGAACTGACCACTCCCGTGAAGTTTCATTGAAATCCCGTCAGTAGTTTGACCTGTGAAAGCTGGTTAAGATTGTTTTATTTTTAGTTCCGGCCATGTTGTGAAGCGAAGCGGCACGTGCCGGCGATATGCACAATAAGGGTTTGTACTGATCGATCCTGTGGGTTTGTTTGAAATCCCGCCAAAACTTTGACATGTGAAAGCCGAACAAGCTTCATACGAACGGACGGACAAACAGACAGACGGCGAAGGAAAAAACAATATGTCGCGAGACATAATTTTCACTTATGTATAGACTCCTTAATACCCTGTCTAAATTTACATATAAAATGAATGTTTTTATTGCTTCAGAGGGATCTCCAGTTTTCAAATTTTGTTATTTGATACATTAAAGGTTATTCATTTCAGTCTGCGAACATGAATAACCTACAGTGTTTATAGGGGGAAATTAACAAGTAATGGCTACATTGTCAGCGTTTTTACAATATATAATGTTATTGAACATATGATTTAAAGCCAATCTATCAATAACTTTTCCGGTTTTTGTTTGTTAAATTATTGCGTTTGAATCCAAAATGTTTAGTTGATCCATACATTACTATGTGTACTTTTCTATAAGAAAACCTTCTGTTATCACATGAATGATTATTTGAAAGATTTTCAGGTAAAATCTAAAAAGTAATGCCCTTTAGTCAACTATACTATTTATGATGTGCGAATATCTTTTGTTCTGGAATTTACAAAAACAAGGTTATTTTATAGGGTTAACGCACGTTTTTTCGTGTTATAACGTCTGCAAAGTCCCAAGGAACGGTTGGTGCCCGAGCCCGGTAGGGACTTTATAACACGAAATTAACGTGCGTTGACGCTATTATAGCATAAATTTAAAAAAAAAAAGATTCATGATGTATATTTAATACTAAACTTATACATTAAATCCTTGTGCTTGGACGGTATTTATCCAATTCTACATGTTTTACGTATGCGTTTTATTTTTCCGGGGCCAATTACTTGGGAAATCCAAATGCTCAGAACCGTTCGAAAATTCGAATTTTAATGGATTTAACAAAACTTATCATTGGAGATTTATCAACTCAAGAAAAAAAGCAACATTAAATTACTCTGCCCAATATGAAACATGACCCTCAGAAATTCTTTTTTTTTCTCATTTATTTGATATTTGAAGTATAATAATACAAACATACATATTAACATACAATTCATAGACTCATACCTATAATTTCAAAAAAAAAACAAAAAAAACTACATAAGTATGAAAAACATCCATTTACTCCATATTTCTACTATATATTTATTCATTTCGAATAATAGAAAGAGTATTTTAGATAAAGGAACTGAAAATTTAAAGTACATGTAGATTCAAAGACATTTTAACATTATTTGGAGAAAGGGAGAATGTAAAAAATAAGGATTTTTGAAGTATATTTAAAATTATTTAACATTATTTGGTGTAAAAATAAGGAAAGAGAGAGAAAAAAACAACAAAGAAAATGTCAGAGAAAATATACATACACAAAACATACACACAGACATTCAAAAAGATATTTTTTTCCTACATACATACAAAACATACATACAATCGCAAAAAAGGGACAAAAAAAGGAACAAGCGAGCTAATTTCAATTAATTTTCTTACGTTTTATGGTTTTGAAATTATTTTTAACTTTCTCTTACTGTTGGTTTTTAGGTTAGAGCGTTAAACAAGTTACCCCATTTTTGTTTGTGTGATTCAACGTTATCATTTAGAAAAGCAATTTCCTCTTCAATTTGTATTCTCAATAGCAAAAAGTTTTTGAAAATATCAAAAGTTGGTTCATGTTTTTGGTATTTCATTTTAAGGATAAAATATTTCATAAGTATGATGATATAATTTACTAAAATACTATTAATATTGTTTTTCAGTTCTCCAAAAAACACTGTTTCTAAATTATATGAGAAAACAATATTGATTGATAAAAGAAAAGAATGTAATTTTGACCATAAATTTTGTACAATAGTATATTCCCAAAAAAGTTGGTAAAGCGTTTCTAAATTGCTACCACAAAAATCACATAGATTTGAATTACAAAGGCTATACTTAAATAACATTGTATTAGTTGGAATAAGTCTATGAATAAATTTGTATTGAAAAATTCTCAATGACAAGTCTGTAGTACTTTTAAATGGAACCATATATATTTTTTGCCAATCCAACTCAGTTTCTATTCTTTTTCCCATTTCTCTTCATTTGTATTTTTGAACCTTTCATCATTTTCAAGTTGAATATTATATAAAAGCTTATTTGTAGATTTTGATTTTTTAACTTTATTTAGGAGTGTATCTTGTACTTCGTTATAATTTCTTGTAGATTTCAGACTATTAAGATATCCTTTTGGTATATTATTCACAAGCGTGTAATATTTTAAAAACTCAGCATTTTCCATACCATAGATATTTTTAAGGTCTTCAAATTTGTAGAGTTCATTTTTCCTATAATCATATAGATGTTCTAAATATATTAACCTTTTTGATGCCATGTTTTATAGTACACCAATTTATTATCAATTTTAATATTCGAATTATTCCATATTATATGATTAAGGTTATCTTTTTTATTATTGTGTTCTTGTTGAATATGAAACCATGACGAAAGCACATTGTTTACAAATGAATTATGAGGAAAAAGCTTATTGATATCTGATTTCGAAAGATTACAGTCAAATATAAGGTCATTTCCATACTGTTTTATCTTTTGATTTATAAAAAGTTTCCATAATCCTTTATTGTCCTCATTTATATATCGTTTGACCCAATTTGCCTTTACTGCATTTAAAAAAAGTATTAATATCGATCATTTTTAAACCACCATTTTTAACATTAAGTTTTAATGTTTTACGTTTGATTTTTTCTGGCTTGCCATCCCAAAGAAACAAAAACATTGCTTTAATTATTTCTTTTATCTTATTACTTGATGGGTTTTCTAAAACTGAAAATGGATATAACAGTTTAGGTAAGGCAAATGTTTTTATTACCATCACTTTACCCATAAGGGTCAGTTTTCTGTGTTGCCATTGTTTTAAGCAAATAAAAAAGTTTCTTAGTTTTGGTTCTAAATTTATATCTGTATTTATTTTGTAATTAGACGAGAAAAGAATACCTAGAGTTTTTGCTGAATCAGATGTCCAATTGAATTTTTTATGTTTACAATGTTCTACATCACTTTTTGTGAGCGATCCCACTCGTAGAACTGTGGATTTTTTTGTATTAAGTTTTAAACCAGAGATTTTGCTAAATTCCGTTATGACATATACAAGTTTTTCAAAAGACTTCACTGATCCATCATAAACAAATGTTGCATCATCTGCAAAAAAGGATTGCTTTATTGTTTTGTTCGCGATTTCTATTCCTTTAATTTCACTATCTTTTTCTATGAAATTTGATAATATTTCTATACATAAAATAAATAATGAAGATGATAATGGACATCCCTGACGTACTCCCCTTTCTATATTAAAAGACTCTTAAAAATGTCCATTATTGATAACTGTACTTGATATATCAGTATAAAAGATTTTAACCCATTTTATAAGATCTTTCCCAAAATTAAATTTATTCAGTGTATCAAATATAAATTGATGGCTTAGACTGTCGAATGCTTTTTCATAATCAGCAAAGAATAATAAACCCGGTTTATTTTCTTTCTACAGATGTTCAATAATTTCAAAAATCAGCCTTACATTTTCACCAATATATCTATTTTTCATAAAACCAGTTTGATTAAAACTTATTATAGACGGCAGAACTTTTTTTATTCTATTTGAAATTGTTTTTGTTGCAAGTTTATAATCAACATTGAGCAAGCTTATTGGTCTCCAATTTGAAATATCTGTAAGATCTTTATCCGGTTTAGGAATAAGGGATATTATTCCTTGTCTTTGAAGTGTTGTTAATTTTGAAGTATCAAAAGAGTAATTAATGGAAGCTAGATAATAGTCTTTTATGCTATTCCAAAATAATTTATAGAATTCAACTGTTAAACCATCAGATCCTGGACTTTTATTATTTTTCATTTCTGATAAAGCTATTTTACATTCATATTCATTAATTTTCCCTTCACATGTGATCTTTTCTTCTTCATTTAATAATTTTATATCTATATCAAAAAAATTAATATTTGAGTTTTGCGAAGTTCTATATCTATACAAACATTCATAAAAGGATTTTTCTTCTTTTAATATTTCTTTTATTTCTGTTATTTCTTTATTTTCTACTTTTAATTTATGTATAACTTTTTTCTCGGCTTGTCTTTTTTCTAAGTTTGCAAAATATTTACCCTCAGAAATTCTTACAATGATTTCAGATTGACGGTAGAAAAAAGATCAGTGCCATCAGAATATATTTTTTCTCAAGCTTATAAGTTTATAAAAGAATATCAGGCACTAAATATTATTCTCTCAAAGAAATATAAATAGCATTTATCAATATTAACATCAATTAAACAACATTTTCTCATATTCATGTTGAGTTATCTTGTTTTGTAAGTTATTTTGAGAATTAAACTGAATGACATTTATTTGTTTACATTGACAACTGTCCGTTTCTTAGAAAGGGCGACAACCAAGAAAAGCGGCGATGTCTATACGCCGTAATAGTTACTTGAATGCTGCTCGCCGTTATGCGATTGAGGCCCTCGAATCAATAATTTAAATATAAAACTTTGGCAAACAGGCCAAAATCGTCACTTTTTGGTTTGTTTACTTGGCCCTGTATGTATTGCGCATAGGTAAAACCGGGCTATAACAAGAGCCTGTGACTATGTTAACGGATGGTTTTGGCCCCGTTATAACATGGGCAAAAGAGGGAAAAAAGCCGATTTTATGCTATAATGGTAAATAATTCAAAGAATTGCAGCGTGGTCTGTTTCATATGTCTAACATCATTCGACAATATTGTTTTATAGAGTAAAACATCGTACCAGATAGAAAGCCCATTTGTACTTCTAAACTTTGATAAAGTTATTCACCTTTTCTAAATAACAAAATGTGTATTAGTTTATGAAGTTTCAAATTTATAGCTTTAATGCATTTTGAGTTACGCTCACGAAAACATTAAGTATGACAAATTTCAAAGAGCTTTTACCTTTAAACTTTATAAAAGATACTGATAGTACCTTTCTTAAAAAGATATTTCTGTTTATAAAAATAAATGCAACGGTATTTGGTTCCAAAAATATTATTATGTGTTACATGTAAATATAAATAGGTGATATACCGTAGGTGCAATAAGGAAGTCCAAATTGTATGTCTAGGAAATCTGGCCATCCTTTAAATAAATGTTCCAACCTATCCCTTTCACTGACAATTCTTCTTACAGTATCGTTCTCATTTGTGATTTCTCTTCCATCGCATCTGGTTATCGAGACCATATCAAATAAAGTATCATTAAGCCTGGAAATATGAATCTAACCGCATTATGTAACATATTGAACCTCATTTTATTTTCCATTTTTATACTCTCTTACCTTTCTAAAATTCTATCGTTTCATATCGCTCAAAAGTAATAAAAGTAATTGCATACCAAATATCATTGTCTCAGAAATTGTTTTGCCTCTTGTTCAGTTATTAATTTATCTTTCTACACAGAGAAAAAGTATTTACGAGACAGACGTATTTCTGATAAGCGGTCATGGTCTCTTCAATACCCTATCCTCGCCCTGTCCTCCCGAAAGAACATTTTCAACAAATGACATTCAAAATCATCATGCCTCCAGATTTATTGTGATCTTCATGAAAATTTATTTAAAAGTAAAATATTGTTAAGTGAAAAAAGAAAGTCACTTACACATTGAAAACCCCACAAACAATCTACATAAATTACCAAATAGAGGTCAGAGTATGCAAATAATATAAGTGGATTTGTTACCCAGTAGAAAAATGGTGACACATACTGCAACATCTGCCATTAATCACATGTTACATGTAAATTATTATTTTTACTTAAAACATGTTTAACATCTTCATGTCATAAGCATGTTTTAAGTATTAACCAGACTTACTATCAATTATAAATGTGTTAAATAATACATCGAATCAGTATGCAAAACTATTTTTCACGCTTTTTCATTTAACAACCCTAAATTATTGATGTTTGAAATGTCAATATTGTACTTCAGTTAAAACTTTATTTCTTCAACTGATCAAAAATTTGACCAATATAAATGAAGATTTACTATTTGGTAATGTATGTATACCACCTGTTCAATCACGCTTTTATAATAATGATGAATTTGAAATTTTGAAAATGAAACTAATGACATGTGTAATAAATATACCTATTTATATATGCTTGGAGACTATAATGCACAAACAGCTGAAATGATCGAATAAACAGTATGTGATGATTTTTTGTCAGATTTTTTTTTATTTTGATAGTGAGGCAGTACGTTTTTTTTTCAACCAAAAAGCTGTAATGGAATCTTATGGAATTAATTTATATAGAAAATCACAGGACAAGGGGAAAAAAGTGGATACAAAATCATAGATATATATAAACAATAATTTAATCATAACAAATGGAAGATTTGGAAATGACAAAAATACATGTATTGGCAAAATGACCTTTAAAGATACTTCAGTAATAGACTATACTATATCATCACTAGATGGTTATACCCTTTTACAGTATTTTGATATCAAAGAATTAGATACCTTATTCTCTGATGGGCATGCTATGCTAGAATGTACCATCAACATGAAGCACAAAATTGAAAACTGCCATAGAAATTTAAACCAAATGCCAAAATGGGACAGTACAAAAGCCGATGAATTTGTTACACAACCTGTTAACCAAATACAAATAAATAATATGACTGAACTACTAAATAATATTTTTATAACAAGTGCGCAAGTGACATTTCCACAAAATGAAAAGTATAAAAGCGATGTAAATATAAATACTAAAAAAAAATAAGCCCTGGTTTGGTACTGACTGCAAAAAAGCTAGAAAACAATATAATAAAGCTAGAAAAAGGTATAACAAATATCCTACTGGTGAAAACCAAACTTTATTAAAAGCTTAGTGTAAAAACTATAAAAGAATTATGAATAAATATTTGACCAAGCACAATAAAGATAATGAATCAAAACTAAGAAAAATGCAAAGTAAAAACCCAAAGGATTATTGGAAATATCTTAACAGAGTAAATATTAAAAAAATGTAGATCTCCCATCTCAAGATTCCATGTATGAACATTTTAGACATGCAAGTAATAGTGATGAACATGACCTTGATGAAAATGAAATATTCAGCAGAATTAATATACAAGATAATAATGATATTCTAAATGCAGAAATAACTAAAGAAGAAATTAAGAAATGCATCAAGTCCCTGAAAAATGGAAAATCAGTTGGTACTGACAATATCTTAAATGAGTATATCAAATCTACAAGTCATAAATTATTACCTATATATGCCAGCCTCTTTAATCTTATCTTTAATACTGGTTTAATATCCTCTGAATGGACAGAGGGCATAATAATCCCAATTTACAAAAATAAAGGAGATACAAAGTCACCTGTGAACTACAGGCCAATAACCTTACTAAGCTGTGTTAGCAAACTTTTTACTAGTGTTTTAAATATAAGACTTAACTCTTTCTTAGAATCAAACAATATTTTAAATGAAAACCAAGCTGGTTTTCGGAAAAATTATTCTACTTTAGATCACATATTTAGCCTTAATTGTTTATCTGAAATTCTAAAAAAGTCAAAAAAGAAACTTTTCTGCTTATTTGTTGATTTTTCTAAGGCTTTCGATTCAGTATGGAGAGTTGGTCTGGAAAAAAAATACTTGAAAACAATATAAATGGGAAAAAAAATTGTGTTATTAAAAATATGTACTCCAGTATCAAATCTTGTGTTTCTCAAAATGGAGAACAATCTTCTTTTTTTGCATGTAAATGTGGAGTACGCCAAGGCGAGAATCTTTTACCTGTTTTATTTTTTACTTTTTCTAAATGATTTAGAAAACTACCTTTTAGAAAAAAGGGAATTCCGGAATGACTCTTGAAAATGATCTTAACTTTGAGAATCTTTTAAAAATCTTAATCCTTCTCTATGCAGATGACACTGTTATACTGTCTGATAATGCAAAACAACTCCAGGAATGTATAAATGACTTTGTTGAATATTGTGAACATTGGAAATTGAATATAAATATTGACAAAACAAAAGTAATAGTATTTGGAAATAGAAATAACAACTCCACTTTTAAAATAGGCAATTCAAGTTTAGAAATAGTAAATAACTACAAATACCTGGGAACACTTTTTGCTTAATCAGGAAGCTTTTACATACAACAAAACAAATAGCACAGCAAGCCAAGAAAGCAATTCATTTACTTTATAAAAGAACTTATAACCTTAACCTCCCAATAGACCTAATTTTCAAACTTTTTGACCATACAGTATTACCAATTTTAACCTATTCATGTGAAATTTGGGGATATGAAAACTGTAACTTACTCGAAAAAATTCATACTGAATTTATACGTAAAATTCTACATCTTAGAAAAAGTACCCCATTGTATATGCTTTACGCAGAGTCTGTAAGATATCCTTTGGAAATAACAATAAAATACAGAATGATAGGTTTCTGGAATAGACTAATTATTCACAATTTAAATTTAAATTCAAAATGGCTAAATAAGATAAAATCAATTTTAGTTGAATCAGGACGTAATGACTTTTGGATACATCAAAACCAGATTGAATCTAAAAATATCAAAACTATCATAAAACAAACTCTTCTAGACCAAAACATCCAAAATTGGCATGCATCTCTAAATAACTCTAGCAAAGGTAGGAACTATTCACTAATAAAAAGCAATATAAATTTGGACAACCACCTTCTTAAACTTAAAAAAACAAGACCTCATTACCTTAATAAAATTTAGGACAGGCAACCATCATTTCCCTATAGAAACTGGAAGATGGAATGGAATAGATTTACCAGACAGAAAGTGCTTGCACTGTGACCTAAATGACATAGGCGATGAATATCATTATTTGTTAAAATGCCCGTTCTTTGACCAAAACAGGAAAAACTTAATCAAACAGTATTACTATAGAAGACCAAACATGCTAAAATTCAAAGAATTATTGACAAATACCTCCATAAATATGCTGCAAAGAACATGTAAATTTATAAGAATACTTTTAAATGAAATTAAGTAAATTAAAATTACATTTAAAAATAACAAATATATAAACAAATAAATAAGTAGATATAAAATAGGTAAAATAGATAAATAAATAAAAAATAACTTACATACTGAGTACATACCTAGTACTGTAAGGTACAGAATAAATAAATAAATGGTAAAATAAGTAGATATAACAAATTTCTTTTTGTTAGAATCTTTCAAATTTGTGCTTCATCCATGTCTGAGCATTTATTAAATATATAAACATGAAAGAAGAGTCCAATGATTAGTACAGATATAATGCATGCACACCAGTACTGTTCACAGTCTGTAAATATTTTAATATTCCGTTTCAAACTGGCATCGAGACACGAATACTTTTTCTGCGCGTGTGTATCTACCCCCTTCAGGCGGTAGCTGTTTGTTTTCTTTTTTCATCTCTCATTCTGCCATGATCATGATAATAATTAATTTTCCTCTTACAAATATCTTAAAAATATTTTTGAACTGTGTAGAAATTTATTGAATAAAACCATGTCATGTGTTAAATTAACAATTATTCACTACTGTTATGTATACTCATGTGTTATATTGTATGTAAGTTAATAAAGATATGTTCTGTTCTGTTCTGATAATTGACAATCACAGTAAATAATCAATTCCACCTCTTTAAATTAGCAAAACAAAAAAAAACATGAAAACACATTAATATTTTATAAATATAACAAAGCACTAAATCACGTAAATGACTTGATTTTCATATCTGAGTAAATGGAATGATTTAAATACATACATAGTAAAGAGATATTTATGTACTTTGAACGTTCCTATCGTGCAGTCACAGGACGGATATGCGAAGTCATTGTGGTAATTGTCAACAATTGCCGCTTCCCGAAGAGCGAACTTGCAATCTGCCTGTACCTGATATAAGATAATCACTTAAAGCAAATATCGCCTTTCATAATAATTTTTATACAAGTTATTGAAATGAAGCGTTGGATCCGGATTGCGGGGGATAATGAGAAAAAATATCATTATACTCTATATCACGAGACACATATTGGATATATTTTTGCATTGCACATGTGACATCATGTATTCTGTCTTTTTTTCTTATTTTGAAAACAATTTTGCACAATCATGTTCTTATTATAAATGTAAGGAAAATCATTCACTCGGCATTAATGTTTATTAGATATAAGGAAAAATAAAGAACTCACTGAAGGTTAACTATATTGTATATGAGTTAAATGTATGTTCTGTACCAATAATTTGTAACAAAATATAAAAGAACGAGTAAATATTGTAAATACAAATGTAGTTAGTTAAACTTGTACCTGAATGTATTAAAAATGTAAACAAATGTCTTTTAAGTAATAGAAAGAGCACCGAAACACGAGGTTATCTGATTTGTACGAGTATTAATCAGATTACCGAGTGTTTTAGTGTTCTTTCTCTTTTGTATCATAGTCAAACATAAAAACACGTTCCCTGTTGTCACAATATGAAACCCCGGCAAAAATAAACCAATGAACGAACATCTGAATATGCTATTTCTGTCGCTTTCCCTTTCTCTGCCGTCACAATATGTAAACCCCAGCAAAAATGAGCCAATCAATAGGCATGCTCTGGAGTGCCGGGTAACTAATACCCGCACTCCAGTTAACGCACTGTGCATGTTTATGTATACGATTTAACCCTGACACATTTTCAACAGAAAGGTCCCTAAACTATGATACAATACCTTTAATTGCATTAAGCAATGCTGGTTAAGTCTGGTAGATAACATATAGGTTTGATGAATTAATTTAAAAGAATACTTACAATTTTGCAGTGATAGTATTTAATACTGTTATCGATTAACTATCTTTTATATACGAAAAATCTGAAAATGCATTTTGCAGTAAAAATAAACATGGATATTTATGTTAAAAACAAACTCTAACCGTATAAAAGCATGTATAGCTTTTGATGAAATGTTTATATACATATTGTATTCCAAAATAAGAATACAATAAAACAACAGGAGCTATATGCGGTGATGAAAATTTTATTCTTCCAGAATCGTTTCCTTTGGGCATATTTTTCCATTCCAAATCTGAGAGAAGAAAAAAAAGTGCTTTAGTCGTAAGTCCCTATTTGAGCAAGAAATATTTTTTGTATTTGTTTTTATGTTAGATACTCTTATCTTTGGTCCTTAATGCAATGGAGATTAATTGCCTAGAGGGAGTTAAACTTTTTTAATATGAAAAATGTGAATGATACAAATTAAAAACTACCTAGAGTATAAAACGACTGCCTCACACTCTTAAGAATTCAGCGATATGTTTGCATTCTGAACGTTATTTATAGAAATGACACTTGGATGGTCATCATGGCACTTTAAAAATACATGCATATTTTTCGACACTCACATTGTTCTAAAGACTAAAATATAATACATGTTTTGATATTGCAAGGCATTTATTTTATAATCTTGCTTACCTGCAATAATGATCCTTGACGAAAAGTATTCATTGCTGAAGTCATCAGAAGTTGGAGGATTACCTATGCAAAATCTTTCATCACCGCCATCCTTACAGTCAGGATATCGATCGCACGTCAGTCGATGTGGAATGCATTTGTAATCAGCAGCACAAAGAAACGATTTCTCACAGAAGCCTAAGAATGAATAATAAAACATGATAATCATTTTTAGTATATGCATTTGTAAATAGATTTGATCATACATGTGATAAAACCAATTATAACCTAAGACAACAATAATAACATTGAAAATATGTACAATCCACCGATAATAAAAAATAAAAATATATAAATCGGGCGAAGCCAAAACACATACGAAATCAAGTAAGCCGCATCCACGTAAATTCTGGAGAAGGGTTAAGAAACAATATGCAAACAACCCCGTACAGGCTACTGATTTAAATATTGCTGATTTATTTACACATTTTTAAAAATTAATATAGTGAGGAAACGAATAACAGATATTAAATTACGAATCTAACGTTAATAACAGATGATGATTTTGATGGCGCTTTATCAACCTCGGAAATAAAAAAAGTTGCAAACATTTGTTCTTAAATCGCTAAATCCAAAGGGTGTGTTTAACATCAGTTTGGTTTCTAGAACGGAAAATCCACGACAGATTGTTTATTGCTTTTACACTCGATAATCGTGGAGTCACTAGCAAAAGAAAAATAATATATTGATATTTTCTTGATTTCGAAATATGTTTCGACAAATTTGATCGAACATTTATTTTTCAGAAATTATTGTTAAAATATTTGAATTAAATTTGCAACGGCTATAAGGTCATTAAGGTCTATGCACGCATCCGTTAAAGCTGCAATTAGATATAACAATACTGTCTCGTCGTTTTTTAATTGTAATATTAGGGCAAATCCAGGTGTCCCCAGTTACCATTATTATCTTTATATGATATATGATTTAATGATATATTAGAAAATACCAATTCCAATATAAACGACATCTATAAAATTGTCGACGGCAAAATATTTCTGCTGCTTTTGAAGTGTTGGTTGAAAGTGTTCAAGTGTTGAACGTTCGTTGTGTTTTATTAGGTTTAAATATATAAATGAGCCGCGCCAAAACAAAACCAACATAATGGGTTTGCGACCAGCATGGATCCAGACAAGCCCTGGCAGTTGATCAGGATCAGTAGAGTCGCTTACAAACCTATTACAAGTATAGAAACTGATAGGGAACAGTATGGATCCTGATCAGACTGCGCGGAGGTGCAAGCTGGTCTGGATCCATGATGTTGGTTTTGTATATATATAATGCTGGTTACATAGTGAATAATATCAGTTAATTGGAACAGGGAAAAAACAGTTCAAAACAACAATATTAAAAATGTTGCATATACGAGCGTATATATATTTTATATTTTTTATATTTATATAAATATATTGAATTTGTATTTGAAATATTAAAACTAGGCAGTAGGAAGACTTCTTAAGGTCAAGTAACTACGTTCGTCAACTCAGTGTATAGAAAAACATTTTTACACCTAGTGAAGTACAACAAACTTTCAACACTTTTACCACGTGATGATCCAAAATAAATAATTTACCAGTTTAGCCTCGTTTTAGTTTAAGAGTCAAAAATATCTCTATCACATGCATATCGTACAACAAATAGTCATGTTTCCATTTCAGGTTTTTAATATCAAATGTTGTTTTGTAGCCTATTATTCGAATGAATTAAAGAGGTTATTATTCATTTTTGAAAACAATGTTAGACTCGTTCACCAGAGCAAAACGTTTTTCCGACTTCTTCAAAATAAGCTTAATCTGTGAACTCCTTCTATAGAATTCAGTATTGCATTAAGCAATGTGTGATAAGCCCATAATACTGTATGATTACCATCAGTTTGAAATTACTCAAAAATTAAACAACCAAACATAACTTTGAATTTCAGTGCTATAACTTATTTATTTTTTATCATTGTTTGGTTAAAGAATAAAAACAAACATAAAAGAAACAGCAAACTAGAAGCAATCACATTCACAAAAAATACGATTTGCACTCAATAAAGTAATAGTACCATTTTCATCAAAATGTTGTTATTTTGTTTGAAACTCATTTTCGTTGGTGTTGTTGCGACTTACTTTTATTCTTTATAAAAGTCGTTTCATAATAAAGCAACATTTTGGAATTTCTATTCGATACTGTTTTTGCTGTCACCCGACTATAGTTAATTATATATAATAACAAGTATTAAAAAGAGGTATTGTCTACATGGCTTTAAGATACCAAAATGAACGTTACAAACTGCACGTGACAAAACATCAAAAATAAATGATTTTATATTTAAAGTTGCTTTACACTGTGATACAAAGTCAAATACAAACCACAATCTGTTTCATCGCTATTGTCGAAACAGTCGTATTCAGCGTTACATTGATTGACTGCTGGGATACATTGTCTATTTTCACAACGAAACTCAGTTTCATCATCACATGTTGGGTATTCTTTAAGAGTTCGTAAAAAATCATTTTAACAGCAAAAATAAAGAAGTTACAAAACATTTGAACCGTATGTTATATAGTGTATAAATTAACACAGGTTAACTTTACAAAAATAATGTTTAGATATATACTATTATTATATACCTATAAATTTTCGCCCTAAAATACACGTCAATATTGAAGGGCAAATACGTTTCATCGGATAGAAATTTCCATATTATGTTAGTGACAAATACGGTACCATATTTGGAAGTGACGGACTATTTTTGACGTTGGTTCCGATCTTAGCTTTGTATAACGTTGCATTTGGAAACGGGGACCAAAATTATTAAAGGCGTGACCGGTTTTCAAGAATTACGTATTCATCCGTCAGTCATGAATTTATTTCTTGACAACTACATTTCATTTTCTGAATAAAACGAAAAGGTATATAATAAAAGGAAAATTATGTTGTAGTAGCTTTCTGAGGCTATTTATTTTTCTACTCGCAACGTTGGAAAATTGATATCTTGCTCGACCTTCGGTCTCGCGAGATATCAATTTTCCACCGCTGCTCGTAGCAAAATACAAAGCCCCAGAAAGCTACTACAACATAATATTCCGTATTTATTATTTTGATTTTATATGTGACCAAAAATAAAAGCGATGTAATTTTCTACCTTTTTATTTAAGTGTCGACACGAATATCATTCAAATATGAATTTATCTAGAGTGTGCTCTCGATAAATGATTGGAAAATTACGAGAAAATCAAATTTATTCAGGGATATACACATACTGTGTTATATTGGTGGTAAATCTATAAAACTACGGTTCTTTTATAGCTATGTCTTTCGTTCACTTAACATTGCATACATTTGTTTGGGAAACTAATACAAGTGTTCATAAATGATCAGCCGTTATAAAAAGGTTTTGAACTTTCTTAAGGGATTGCTATTTTCTCTATTTCATACATAAATAAATAATCCTTATTTCTAATTTTCGATAATTTTGTTTTCAAAAAAGTATTTTGTTATCTTGTATTAAATGTTTGTTATTAAATATTTCTACCGCAAAGTTTTGATTTTATTAGATTTTGAAAATACCAGTAAATATTGCAATAAATGCTTTCCTTTCAGATAAATAGTTTCACAAGGTATGGCCAATGTCATAATGCAACATGAAAATACGTTATTTTAAAAGTCTTCTACTTTGTACTTTTATGTACAAAATACTAATCTTTTACAACTTTTACTCCCTGAACGTACCACCGTGTGAATTTACTGTACACGTTAACAAATTGTCCAGTGTCTTCACAGAAAAATGTGTGAAAATGGATATGGAGGTATGGAGGTAATACCTTGTTTTTTATCATCGAAATCTACCAAGGATTCAATTTTATATATCCAGATTAGGCATTTATCCCTCATATCTCTCTTGGTGAACAATGCTTGTTTCCCAATGAAAACCCGCTATGTATTTCATAAAATTGTTTTATGAAAGTCAAAAATGTTTATTTATATTGTCAGATATATTAAGTATAGATTATAAGTTATATACACAGTTTAAAGAATAAATTTTCTAGCGAACGAAGTGAAAAGAGGTAGGTAATTAGTTTCTTAAAACCCCGTATAACCGACTTACTGTTAGCGCCGCTCATTCAAATCGATTGTATTCTGAAATAGGCGGAGTCCATTTAATCAGCTCATTTAATGTATAAATTGTATACATAAAGTTGAGTTTCAGTACCTTTTGGTACATATTTCGGCATAATTTAGGCAAAATAGAACGATTTCATTGGCGACCAAACGTTTGCGAACTGATAATGTAATTATAGTAATCTTTGAAATATTAATTAATTAAAGCCTACCACACAATTCATCTTTGCCGTCCATACAGTCCGGTTTAAAGTCGCAAACTCGACTCAGTGTAATACAATTTCCGTTGTCACAAGAAAACTCGTCTTCGTCACATTCTACACAAAATGTATGGTACTATGATTTTTTAATAAAAAATACTTGTTTAATTCCTTTTTTGTGTTAACATGAATCTATCAATTGTATCGTCCACAAGGAGACGAGGAAAATTGTCATCACGAAGTAAAAAAAAAGTTTACAGTATTGAATCAAAACGAATAAACGGATAAAACAACTTTATTAGCAATCAAACACTCAATCAACCCACGTATCTTCATTTACTAAAGGTGTATGTTAAGGAAATATTTTCATTATTTCTAAGTATTAAAACATCACTTAAATTGTGATGTACGGCATAATAAAACAATTAAAATTCAGTTTTACAAAATTTTAATGAAAAGAACAAATTACCAATATTGCCATGTAAACATATGACTTCGTCCGAAGCATCAAGACAATCAATGACATCATCACATTTAGCTAACACAGATATCCACTCTTTGCTATGTTCACAGCGAAAATACGCCCAAGAATTGTGTCCGCGGGGTAAATCAGATTTTATCATTGTCTCCGTAGTTGTATTTTTTGAGAGATTGTGATCTAAATAAAAATATAATTAATAGTATTTAAGACAATATTATGTATCAAGATAAAGGCAAATACAAGGTGAGGTTTTATCTCTGTACGTTTCTTAGCTAAAATACTATGAAAACTAAACATAAATTTTATTGTTATTTTAATTTTGTACATAAGCTATATATAAAAAGCTATAAAAACAACGCATTTTGTAAACAAGCAAGTGTTTGAAAGAAAACTACAAAATGACACTTATCAATATCATCAAAATAGAAAATGTGTTAATAGAAAAAGAAGTTACTAATTCAATATGATTCATTCTTACGCAAATGTTTTTGCTTTGAACCCTGGTGTTGCTTTAAGCTGGTAACGCATAAGGTTTGCCAAAATTATATTTCCTGTTCTTGGCGCCATATGACTTATATTGTGTTTGTGTGCCGTAAAACAAAACAAACGAAAAATATATTTATAATAAAGACCAATATTTGAAAATGTATAAACATTTGTTGTGCTCATTAATCAATAATTTAACAACACACTCATTTAAACTAATGTTACCAACAAAAGCAGATCGTCGCCAAAGAAAACCCTTAAAAACAATAGCTATAACCATTAAAAATGCCGAATAATGTGTACAAACCTTGGAGTTTGTTCAAACATGACAATTCATCTGTATAGTCTAAGCAGTCGAAATTCTTATCACACCAGTTCACCATAAGTATTGATGATCCATCAGAGCACTTAGCGTCAAGCACCTCCGTTTTAGGCAAACTGATGGTATCTTTGTCTAATAAATGTTTACATTCAACTGAGCAAGAAATTTAAATACAAAAAATCTACAATACAAACTTTGATGACCTTTTTTATAATACCTTTATGCATATCATAATGATATTGAGGTATTGACATAACATACTCTTCAATTTGGTCGTTATGTAAATTTACTTTCGTTTAAAGAATAAACACTTTACTTTCACATTTCGTTTGAACGACATGATTAATACAAACATGTTAAAACAATAGATGAGCGTGTCATGTATGAGGCTCCGTATATATTTTAGTTTGAGAACAAAGCTGATTTTAATTTCCCTCCTACGGGCTTGGGTTGGGGAATTGACTCGTTCGAAAGTTAATTAAAAATATCACTCAAATTTTCTTATACATCTGAAAGACCCTGAATGCGTACATGCAGAAAAGTTTAATTCAATTGCTTAAATTTACCTTTGCATCGGTAAGGCATCAAAATAAAAAATAAGGCATCGAATTGTTTATCGCATTCTTTTATACTTAATAAAAACTTATTTGACTGTGTCGCCTTTATGCCATTCGCAGAATGCAAATGCGTGAAATACTACTCTTCTTAGGAAATATCGTAAGGTTAAAAGGTATATGAGGATTTTGATATTAGCAACAATCCTTCAGTTGAACATTACATACAAATAGAATAATCCTCACTTGGTCCTGACATTAATATGGTTAAAAGCTTTTGATAGAATTGCCTATATCTTTGTAATTTAAAATGTAAGTAGTTATCTGGCAACTTCTTTAAAAAATATAAATAATTTTTTAATAAATAGACTTAACTACAGTTAAAGGAAACAACTGTCAACTAAAGAAATTCAAACAAAGTGTTCATACAAGTGATCTTGAATCTCAAAGTCAAATTAATTGAATTTTCATAAAACGTATCAAAACATTGTTATGTATGAAATTTTTACTAAGATAAAACAACACTTATATAAGACACATTGCCATGTGAAATAATTTAAGTATGACATTGAGTTTCAAATGCATTTGACCCTCAACTTATCATTATGTTCCTGTTCCAAAACAAATCCAAACAGTTCATTACGACCTAAAAAGAAAAAAATGACACGACGTGTATTGTAAGATATGTACATTGATATAAAGATGACATTGATTTTCAAGGTCATGTCAATACTTTAGGCAAGAAAATTGATTTGCTATTATTTTTTTTTGCCTATTTCAAGTAAGTCTGATTTGAAATTAAAATCAAAGCACTGAAAGTACTGTTGGAAGGAAATTTTCATAGAAATTCCCAATGAGTGTGAAGTAAAAACCAAGGCATATTTGTATGTTCTAATTATATTCAATCAAGCTATTCTTGCTTCAATCCTACTTTCAGTTTTACAGCTAGCTGATTTAATGACGTAAAATGTGATGTCATTGTTTCTGTTTTTGCAAGTACTCATGTTCAGTGGGCTGATAACTAGTTCTTGGGTAAGGTTCCCAAACCCACTAGTCGTGACACTCATAATTAGTTGAAATCATAGGCAATTCTGTTACTATATATAGAGAAATAAGTGATTAATAGATAATATTACTGCATTATGAACACAAAGAACCACTCAAAGTTTGACCTTAATCGGCCATGATTTATATAACTACTTCATAGGACCTCAACACCATGCCATATACAAAATGTAAAGCATTATTTAATCATAGTTAATGAAGATACTTTTAATTTTAAACTCATGGAAAAGAAAAGCTCATCATGTGCTTACATGGTTAAGTTCAAACATGACTAATTGTGTTTTAGTATGAAATTGATGTACATGCTGTAAAAGTCATAGCAAAACAAAGAACAATGATTTAAAATAAACTTTTATTGTCAAAACTTGCATAAAAGTAAAACTATTTGTGATATAAAAATAAATGCTTAAATATATGGAGATAATGGAATTTAGTTTTTCAGATAAACTGTGTAAAAGGAACTCCACTGAGGTTTTTCGACATGATTGAAGTGGAATTTATTTTTCTTGATTTATGTACCATCTGATGTATGTTTTGACCCCTAATCTTTGAGCGAAATTTCAGATCATTTGCGCACTTCGTTTTTAAGAATGATTATTCAAATTGTAAAAAAAAATGACCCAAAATGAAAGCGTTTAAACACATTTCACGCAGATCAGGCTGAGAAAAGCATAAAAAAGATTTTCAATTTATTTCAAAGTATATTTCTTAACTATCTGTGCTTATATTTCTGTATCAAGTGCCCCAGCTAATTTATGTAAAAATTTAAATGTTATGTTTTAGGCTTTTAAACCTCAATAAAGTCCCTTTAAATTTATTGGAACATATTGAGGTAACACAAGTTATAACAATTTGAATGATAGAAGCTTTAATGCAAACGGCCAGTGGTATAGGAGGTGCTGTTTTAAGGATTTTTTTACATTTTTTAGAAATGTGCCCACAGGACATGGATGCCTGCGCAAAGAACAATGCTTATATTGAGTGGGTAATCAAAATATGTACATAACTAGACGTGCCCAGTGGCAGCATATCGAGCCTGTTGCCTTTATTCAGAACTGAACCTTAAAGCTTCAGATTGGGGAGAAAGATGTATATATAGGTGGACATTTGTGATTAATGTTATGAAAATCCAGCCATGTATATAGAAATATACTTTCATGTTTTAATTTATTATTTGATCTTTTATCCAAAGTAGTGACCTTGATCTTTGCAACAGACACCTGGTTTTTCATACTCCACTCCACCTAACTAAAGACTGTTAAATTTTGTCCAGAGTTATATGAAATATCTTCATAGATTTCTAAAGCATTGAAATATTATCAGTTATAAATCAATTTTTTTTGCATATAATTTGGTAAGGAAGGCGAAATGTTGTAGAAATTTGGTGGAATGTAACTGAACTCATACTTGACCTGTGTTTTGATATATTGTTGAATATACCCATTATAAATTGAATCCTTAAAAGGTGTACAAATCTTATTGGCTGGAAACTAAAATTTCAGTCAAACGTACTAAATGGACTGACAGACAGGGTAACACTTAATGCCCTGTCACCATTCTTTAAATGGCATGGGCATATAAACTTAGAACAGTTTGGCTTACAAGAGCATTTCTGTTTTCATATTTTACTAGATGAAGTACAAAGAAATGGTATTGTTATATGAAGTGCATGTTTAACTAAAACAGAATGTATGATTCAGAAGAACACTGTTTAAATAAAGTAAATAATGTTGGCAATAATAGGCAAAACAAAACAACCCAAAAACATAAAAACAGTTGACCATCTTTTGGACTTGTCATGAGTTGGCCATGCTAATCTTTGAATAAGAACATAAATAAAATACAACATTATACAGAAAGGTAGTACAAAAAATACAATGATCACAAGTTTGAAAGTGAACACTTGTTGGTAAAATAAAAAAGTAGAGAAAAACAGAATCCTCACAACAATATATTGAAAATGTTTCTGGCTTGGTTTGATTGAGCCTGTTCATGGACGGTACTAGAAAGTGCAAGTTACTGCCCACGCCCCCTAGCAGTGGCTGATGCAAAATTCAATATTTAAACACGAAAATGGTGAAACTATGATCATATAGATTTAATGCAAAGAGTAAGACCGTGAGGTATATTTGATAAAATGATCAGTAATGTAAGTGTTTAAGAAAAATTTAAAACTTAAACTGTCAGCTAACAAGCAAGGGATCCAATGTTTCTACCTTTGTGATGACATGCAAGGTTATCACAAGTTATTAACAAGTCATAAACTTAAAAAATAATGAAGAATGTTTTAATCAAATTCATCATTCAGAATTTTTACTAAAAGATGAAAATAATTTTCCTTGTGTTTAATCTTGTATTTATGATGACACATATGAAATACATTATTATAAACAATAGTTTGGCAAAATTATGTACAGAACAGATGAAGAAACAAGAGGACCATGATGACCCTGAAATCACTCACCTGAATATAAAAAAAATTCATAACAAGGAACAAGTAATGTTGTAATATTAGGAAAGAAAATCATTGACCTCCTAGGGCAGGGCCAATTTTGACCCCAGGAGTTTTATTTGAACAAATTTGGTAGATACTTACTTGGAGATATTTCATACTTTATTTCTAAGCTCTAGCTCATAAGGTATTTTTTTAAAAAGTTCTTACTATATACATCAGGAAAGTTAATGACCCCCTGGGGTAGGGACAATTTCTACCACAGGGCTTTTATATGATAAAATTTGATTGACACTCGTTAAAAGTTTTTACATGCCCAAGTTTTGATGAAACTGGCTTATCAGTTGACGGGAAGATGGCGTGAATACAATTCGTCAGAATCAACAGTAGTCATTTACCGCTCAAAGACAACCTCCCAGCCAAATCTGAGGGAAGTAAGCCAGTGCATTGCTAAGTTATGTATTCTACATGTTTTAGTGTTTTATGAGGACTATATGAGACCATTTGAACAGCTAAGCTATTTGTAATAAAATCCCCTGTGACCTTGAACTTTGACCCAGTGACCTCAAAATCAAAAGGGGTCATCTAATAATCTTGACTAACCTCCATGCCAAATATGATGACTGTGGGTCAAAGGATTCTTAGGTAATTGGGCGGACAAACTTTAATTAGCCAAGGCCTGTGACCTTGACCTTAGACCTGGTGACCTCAAAATAAATAGGGTTCATCTACTAATCATGACTAACCTCCATGCCAAATATGAAGACTGTAGTACGAAGGATTCTTAAGTTATTGAGAAGAAAAGCTTTCTTCAGTCAAGGCCCCTGTGACCTTGACCTTTGACCTTGTGTTCTTAAAATCAATAGAGGTCATCTTCTAATCATGACTTACCTCCATGCCAAATATGAAGACTGTGGGTCAAAGAAATCTAAAGTTACTAAACGGACAAAGAAAAACTGACGGACGCCCGACGACCGGACAAGCTGATTCCAGTATATCCCCTTACAACTTTGTTGTGCGGGGGTATAACAGATTTCAAACATTGATAAGTTAGCTCATCCTCTTGGTGCTGAACTGGCGCCTCTATATACTAATTGGTTCTTTTCATACATAGGTTATCTCATGTTCTTTTTGATAAACTCTCACCTTGAACTTGATAAAGCTCTGTTCATACATATTTCAAAAATAGATAAGTGATCTTATTTTCCTGGTGAAAAACTGGTGGCTCATTAAAGTTCTATACATATTATGATATTTCAAAAATTGGAAAGTTATCTCATGTTCTTGATGAAAGACTGGTGACAAGTTTTCTTCTCAATGTCATTTCTTTTTCTAATTAGATTTAGTCATGGTAATATATTCATTGCATTGTGGAAAACCGATCTTTGGATTCAACGTAAGGAAATGACTCGGTGTTAATGCAATTGTAGAGTTTACATCATCACCAATATAGACTAAAGGTCTTGAGTTCACTACGGCTTCAATTTCTTTGATAAGTGTTTGAGCTTGAATGATAGTTAAGAGTTTTCGCCCCACAGTTTTTCTGAATGATCTTTTTACAAGACCAACTAGCCTCTCGTAAAATCCTCCCATCCAGGGTTCGAGCTCTATAATAAAATTCCATTGGATGTTTGCATTTGCAGAGTAGCTTTGAACTTCATTACTATGTAATAACAATGCCAAATCTTATCTATCACTAAACTAGCGGCTTTAAACTGTTTTGCATTATCACTAATTATATGCAATGGAGTACCTCTTTGAGCTATGAACCGACGGTAACCTAAAAGAAATTCTTCTGTTGTCATGTCACAAACTAGTTCAAGGTGCACATCACGAGTTACTAAGCACGTAAATAAGCATATCCATGCCTTTTTCACGTCACCTGCTGTTGTTTTCAAGTACACTGGCC